TCAACAACTTTCCAAGTCTCCAGACCCCACCTCAGGAGCCTCAAACTCTGCAGGGAAAAGCCCCAAGAGGCCACTCCAAGAATTCCAAGCACATCCCTCATTTTTCCCTTATAAGGAGCAAACCCCGAATCAATAACCCAGAAGGTAACGAGCGATTCCAACCGAGCCGCTGGAAATTCAAATCCCCGGGAGGAAAAGAGGGAGGAAAAGAGGGAATTTTGAGCTCTGAAAATTTGGGAGAGGGGGGGAAAAAATTAAAATAAAAATAAAATTTAAAAAAAATAAAAATAATAATAAAAAAAGTGGGAAATATTGGAAATTTAACGCTCTTACCATGGTGAGGCTGAGTAAGATCTGAGCAAAGCAGCTGCTGCCTCTGCCTCTCCCTGCAACTTTATAGCCCAGGAAATCCTGACTCCACCTGAATTTAAAGTTTCTCCAAGCTTAAAGGAGCAGAGCTCCTTTTCCTTCCATCCCAGAAAAAAAAAAAATCGGGATCTAATCCCGCCCAGTTTGCAGGATTTCCCTGATTAAAGGCGGCGTAATGGGAGGTTTTTTTTATTTTTTTTAAATTATTTTAAAGCGGGATAAAAGTTGATTTTTTTTAAGTGTGGGGTTGGTTAAAAAGAATTAAAAGAAAGAAGGAAAAGCTGGAAAAGTTTGGTGTGTTCCCACATAATTCACTTTATCCAGTGGGAATAATCCGCCTTTATCACTTTTCATGGTACTGCAGCTGATATTCTTAATTTTGTTCATTTTTAGACAAAATCCTGTGATTTTTGGTCTTTCTTTCCCCCACCATTTTATCCATGATTTCATGGGAATCTGCTGGGATTTGCACCTCTGGGATGCTCAGTTGGAGGCTCAGCCCCTCTGGATTCCTTAAGGATTCATTTTTTCCCTCCTGCTGAGGATTGGGAAGCAATTTTGACCCCGTTCCCGTGGGATTTTCCAGGCTTTTTTTCCTAATTCCCTTCTTTCCCTCTTCATCTCCCATTAAAAATTCCCAAATTTTCTTTGATTGGTCCACAATCCCAGCAGGTTCTCCAGGACTGGGGGAGACAAGGATATCCCAAATGGGATTGGGAGAAGGAATTTTTCCCTCTGTTCAGCATTTTTGGGATCTTCTTTTCTTCCTGGGTCCGGTTTGGGCTTCCCAGTATAAAACCCACACTGGTAAACCGGAGCAAATCCAGGGATTTGGTTGGATTTGGAGCAGGGAATGTGGGAGGATGGGATTTGATCCTTGAGAAGAGGAATTCGGAGAGAGTTTGGAGGAGGAATGTGAAGATTTGGGGAATTTTTATCCTTGGATGTATCCCAAATCTTTCCTGATTTCAGTGGTTTATTCACTAAATCACCTTTTGGGCAACACCAAATCCAGAATTTTGGGTTTTTTTTTCCATGGGAAATGAGAAGGAAAAGAGGGAATTGCTGGAGCTGGAGGTGGCAAAGAGCACCTGCCTGGGATTTCAACTTTCCTGGATAAAATGAGGAATTTCAGTGCTTTCATCACTAAATAATGTCTTTTTGGGCTACCCCAAACCCAAAATTTTGGGTTTTTTTGGGGGGGAAATGGGAAGGAAAAGAGGGAATTGCTGGAACTGGTGGTGGCAGAGAGAAACTTCCTGGGATTTCAGCTCCAGGCTGGATTTAGAACGGAATCAAGCCGAGACCACCCCCTCCCCAGAGGACTTTTTATAGCCAGAGCTCACAGCTGCTGCCTCCTTCCCACTCCTCCATCCCAAATATCCCAAATCCCTCCTCCCTCTTCCCACAGAGGTGGATTTTGGGCAGGCCCAGACTCACCAGGAGCTGAGGAACTCAGGAGGTGCTGCTTGGCCACTTCAATTTGCTTCAAAATCAAAAGATTTCGGCCCTGGGAAGATGAAAATATTTAATTTAACGGTCATTTTTTGGGAATTTTGTTTGGTTTGGAGGAAAAAATTGAAGGAGGAAAAAATTCCAGGGATTTTTCCCTGTGTTGGCCTGGTTGGTTGAGCTGAGAAATTGGGATTTAGGCACTTCCAAACTCTCTAATTCCAGATTTAATTGTTCACCTGTTAAAATCTGCTCAGATTCATGGGTGAATTTCCCTAAAATCACTTTTCAACCTCTCATTATTCCCAATTTTTTTTTTTTTTTGGTGGAAATTCTGGGAATTTTCCACACCCTCTCTTCCCCCCACCAAGGCATTTGTTGGTTTTTCAAGTGAATTCTGTGCCAGAACAATCCCAGGGATCTTCCACCTCTACTTCGGCCTGATCCCGTTTTTCCATCTCCATTTCCCAAGGGAAATCCACTTTTTGATCCAACCAATCCTTTGGAAATTCACTTCTTTTGCTGATTTTTTTGCTGATTTTTTCCCCCAATATTTTGCTGGGTTTTGATGATTTTTGGCTGATTTCTTTCTGATTTTGATGATTTTTTTTGCTGATTTTTGCACTGTTTCTTTGCCAATTTTTTGCTAATTTTTGCTGGTTTTGCTGATTTTTTGCGGATTTTTTTCCAATATTTTGCTGGGTTTGTCTGATTTTTTTTACTGATTTTTGCACTGTTTTTTTGCCAATTTTTTGCTGATTTTTGCTGATTTTGACTTTTTTTGCTGATTTTTTCCCAATATTTTTCTGGGTTTTGCTGGGGTTTTTTCTGATTTGTTTTTGCTGATTTTTTGTTGATTTTTTCCAATATTTGCTGAATTTTTTTACTGATATTTTTCTGATTTTTTCCAATATTTTGCTGGGTTTTGCTGATTTTTCTGAATTTTTTTTGCTGATTTTTGCACTTGTTTTTTGACAATTTTTTTGCTGATTTTTGCTGATGTTTACAGATTTTTTTTTTTTCTGATTTTTGCACTGATTTCCTCCCAGTATTTTGCTGGGTTTTGATGATTTTTTTTTTGACAATATTTCTGCTGATTTTTTTGCTTTTTCTGCTGAATTTTGCATCAATTTTTTTTGCTGATATTTTGTTGATTTTTCCTCATTTTTGGTGATTTTTGGCTGATATTTTTATGAATTTTTGTTGATTTTTGCACTGCTTTTTTTGCCAATTTTTTGCTCATTTTTGTTGATGTTTGCTGATTTTTTTTCTCATTTTTGTACTGATTTTTCCCCAATATTTTGCCAGCTTTTGATGATTTTTGGCCAATTTTTTCCCAATATTTTGCTGATTTTTTTGCTGATTTTTTTGCTGATTTTTGCTGAGGTTTTTTGCTGATTTTTTTGCTGATTTTTTTGCTGATACTTTGCTGATTTTGACCAAATGTTTGCTGTTTTCTTTGCCAATTTTTTGCTGATTTTTCCTGATTTGTGCACATGTTGGGGTTTTTAAAAAGGGTTTCAAGAAGAATTTCATGTCTTTCAAAGAATTTCATCCAAATGCTGCCCAGAAGTTGAGCTGATGAACCTGATCAAGTATAAAAGGCTGTTCCAGGGGCATCACAGCTGTTAAAAATAGATTTTTTTTTTGCCAAATCTGTCTGATCCAAAGGCAGATTCGCATTCCAGAGGAGATATTCCCACTTTATAAGCAGGGAAAAATCACCCCTTGTTATAGGGATGCTTGGAGCTGTCACCCCATGAGGGGACAAACCCCATCCCCTCCTCATCCCTTCACAGGGAAAAAGCTGAAATGGAGGAAAATCCAAACCTCAGCCAAGTGGGATGGATTTTCCAGATAATTCCCTCACCTGAGAGTATCCAAAACTTCACCCGGAGTCTTGCTGGAAGCACCACTTGATCCTGCTGTGGGATGGGAGGAACTGATGGCTTTTCCAGGCAGGATTTGGGAATTTGCTGCTCCGTCTGGGCTAAGCAGCTCCTTTTTTCCAGCTCTGTCAAATAGAGAGACGACTGAGGTAAATTTTTGGGATTTGAGCTGATTTCTAAAGTGTAATTTTTCCTTTTCTTTTTTTTTTTTTTTTAGGAAGGAGCTGTTTCTCCTCCAAAATTTTGCTGATTTTTCTGCCTCTTTTGGACTGGGAGAAGCTGTTGATCCCCTTCTCAGGATGAACCTTTTCCTAAAATCCAGCCTAACCTCCCCGACACAGCTCCAGCCGTTCCCTCCCAGCGATCCCAGATGGAAGTGGAAATTTCAACAAGACCAAGGTTCTACTCTTTGACCACACCATGGAATGTTCCATGCTGGGATAGAGGGGCTGGAAAGTTGGGAAAGGCCCTGGGAATTCTGGTGACAGCAGCTGGACATCCCCAGGTGTGGGCAGGAGGCCACCGGGAATCTTGGGGTCACTTCTGAGCTCCTCAGCTCGGGAAGGACCTTGAGGGGCTGGGGAATCCAGGGAATGGAGCTGGGAAGGGGCTGGAGAAGAAGGAAAAGCTGAGGGAGCTGGGAAAAGGCTGAGCCTGGAGAAGAGGGGGATCAGGGGGAATTTCTGGCTCTGCACAACTCCCTGCCAGGAGGGGACAGCCAGGGGTTCAGGCTCTGCTCCCAGGGAACAGGGACAGGAGGAGAGGGATACCTCTGGGTGGATACCGAGAAAATTCCTTCATGGAAAAGGTGGTTAAACATTGGAAGGGGCTGCTGAGGGCAGTGTTCTCACCATCCCTGATGATGTTTAAGGAAGATCTGGACGTGGCACTCAGTGACAAAGGTCACTGAGACAAAGGTCACAAAGGCTCGGCCACAGGTTGGACTCGATGGTCTCCAAGGTCTCTTCCAGCCTCAAGAATTCCCTGGAATATCAAGATGCTGAGGGTGATGCCCTCCCTGTGCCTCAGTTTCCCCAGGGCCGGCGCGTTCCCACAGCGCGCTCCGCCAGGGGGCGCTGCGCCCGCCGCGTCCCTCACAGCCCGCGCCGCCCTCTGGCCACGCCCCCGCGGCTCCTGATTCGCCACCGCCGCCACCGCCGCCATTTTCAAACCGCCGCCGCTGCCGCCATTTCTCCCCGGGCTGAGGCGCCGCTGCCGCCGCTTCCACTTCCAGCCCCGGTCCCCATCCTCATGGAGGCAGAGCCCCTGGGCCAGAAACCCCCTGGGCGGCGACGGGGCAGGGCGAGCGGTTCGCCCCCGGCGAGCGGCACCCCCGGTGTGGCCGCCTCCTGCAGCCGGTAGGAGTCGCGATCCCCCCGCGTTCCCCTCGTGAGGGGGTGAGGGTGACCCGCGGGGCTTGTGTGTCCTCAGAGGAGATCCCGCCGCTCTCCTGTGTGAGGGAGGGTCCCTTTCGCTTCCTTAGTGCCTCGTGAAGGGAACCCCCGGCCGGCTGTGAGGGGGTTTTCCAGGGAAATTCTTTCCGTTTCTATCTCCTCAAGGGAATTCCTCTCCTTCGGGCTGTGGAAGAATCCTTTGCCTTTCTGCCTCATGAGACGGACGCTGCTTTCTTCAGGCTGTAAAAGCTTTCCCCGCCTGTCCTCTGATGAGGAGGGGTTTTGTAGCTGCTCCTTTCACGGAACTTTAAAGGGTTGGAATGATCCTTTAGGATCATCCAGTGCCATGGGCAGTGACACTTCCCACTGTCCCCGGCTGCCGCAGCCTGGTCTTGGACACTTCCAGGGATCCCAGGAGCAGCCACGGCTCCTCTGGGCACCCTGTGCCAGGCTCTGGATCACCTCCCTCTCCTGGGCATAAAATCCACCTCAGCACCAGCTCCACCTTTATTCTGATTTTTTTAAACCCCTGTGTGAGATGTCTGTTACTGTTACTCTGAAATATGGAACTTGGGAGATTTTTCTCAAGGTAACACCCTGAAAGAAGCTTATGAAGTAATTTACCCTGAAGTTCAGTTCCTTTTATTTGTGTTGACCCCAAAACGTTACCCAAAATGTTTAAGATTTAAACAGATTTTACAGATCAGCAGAGGTTTGGGTTTTCTGTTGCCCTCAAGGTTAGGAAATGACTTTTCCAAGCGTGTAGGTGATGTGGAAACCTCTTCTATCTGACAAAAGTGGCTTTAGTTACCTCAGCACAGGGAGTTTCTACCTGCAAATGCTGTGTTTGGACAGAAATTTATTCCTGGATAGGATCGGGGATCAAATTTTGCAACCCAGCTTGGCTTGGAGGGGCGAGAGATGCTCCTGCTTTTCCTCCAGCTTCATTTTTCCATGGAAATGAGGGCGAGGAAGGTGAGTGGAGCAGCCCCATGTTTTGAAACCTGGAAAAATTCCCCAGGGGCTGAAGTGGATGTTCTTAATTAGGCGATAAAAGCAAAGTAAACATTGATGAGCTTGGGGTTTTGCAAGCATTGAGTTCTGGGGAGGCTGAAGGGTTTAACAGGCTTTGAAAAAGAAATGTTTTCATAGCCATGTGCTCTTGAAAAATCAAACTGGAGCTCCCTAATTAGCACACCTTGAAATGCAGAGCCTAATTGAAGGCTTTGGTGGTTTGGGATGGTGGAGCATTCCTGGGTGAGGCTCATTTGTGTGGGAGAGGCCAAGGAAATTGGGATAAATCAAGACAGGAATTAATGCAGATACAGCTGGACACTCAGGGCTGCCAGCTCAGCTCTGGTGATGCAGAGCAGCTCAAGATGCTGCCGCTTGAGGCTTGTTTGGAATAATGAAAAATGTAACTGGGAGATCTCCAGCCCTATTTCAAATTTAGGTCAGCTTGGCATCGGCTGGGTGAGCTCTAAAAACCTCCAAGGACAGGGATTTTCTTACCTCTCACTGCTTGATCCCACACACTGGGGGAGAATTTTCCTTGTATTCCCTGGAAATTTTCCATGCTGCAGCTTGTGCATGTGGAAGGGTCTGTTTCAGGTTTTATCTCCTTTTTAGATCGTGTAGACAGCACTTGAATCCCTTTTTTTTTACCTTTCCCTGAAGAATCTCATTTTTTCACCTTTCCCTGAAGAATCCCTTTTTTATCATCTCTGAACCCTTTTTTACCTGTCCCAGGGTGAGCCCCCTGCTCTCAGTCCCTTTATTAATCCTGGGCATCTTTTTGCTCCGGTTGCTGTTCCTTGTACTGGGAAACCCAGAGCTGTTCCCAGTATCCAGATGGGATCTCCCAAATCCCAACTGGCATCATTTGAGCTGTTTGCTTCCCCAACTAATAACAGAATTTAAATTCTTTAATCCTTGCAGCTGTTGGGGCAGTGTCAAACTAGGACAGAGTGACAGAGGGGTTGTTTGTTTGAATTTTAAAAAATACAAAAATCTGGAAGCAGTTGGATTTTAAACTTCAGCCAAATGTGCAAAATCTGTGTTTTATGTTCAAGGGTCTGATTAAGCAAAGGCCTCCACTCCCTGCTAAACCATAAATATATTCAATAAATGCACAGCAAGTGACCTCAGTCCCTGCTCCTTTGCCTCAACCCCAAGTGTATGTGCCACATCCGTGAAGGAGTTTTTATCTCCTGACCCTGGATTTGGGCAGCCTGAGGTTGTTGAAATCTCAGTCCAGGCACAACCAGAGCTCGGGGAGCCTCTGGATTCCCTAAATCCACCCAGCAGTGTTGGAGGGCGAGGTAATTCCCCTTATTAGCCTCAAATTCTCGGGGCTGCAGCATTCCCCAGCGCTCTGGAATCTGCTGTTTCAGTGGGGTATTTTTAAAGCATCAAATTGCACTCCTGTGGTGCTGCTGGAGGATTCCTGGTGCTCCCAAAAGAGAGGGAGGCGGGGAAGGCACTGGGAATTTGTAGCAGCCTCTTGTTTGTGGTGTCTAAAAAGGGAGGAGACGGTGCTGGAGACGGTGACTTCACCCAGTTATGAACAGGGAATGTTTGAGCCGAGGGTGCTTTTCACATCTTCTCATTTTCTATTTATCTTTTTTTATTCATTTTTCCCCCCTGGCTATGCACCTGCTCTTGCATCAGGTTTAAAAGTGAGAGATAATTGCAGAGGAAGCTGCAGGGTGTGCCCAGAGAAGGAAAAATAAAAAATTATTTTCCCAAGGAGTTATTCCCTCTTTTTCCAGAATTTTCCCTGGAATCCAGCAGCTCAACAAGTGGCTGAGTGTTCTTCTCTCAATCTTTCCCCCACCCTCAACTCTAGCTGCAAGGAGATAACAAAAAAAAATTACAAAAGCTTTTATCTGGGACAGATAAAACACCATTTATCTTGAGATTTATTTGTTTGCTCTCTAATCTTGCTCCCAACTTCCCAGTTTCTCTAATCTGGAGGTGAATCCAGGTGAAGCTTTCTGAAGGAACCCATGGAAATAAAGCTGAGTCCTCTCTCCTGCCCCAGCCACTTTTTTCCTGGAGAGTTCATTTTTCCTGGAGAATGGCTCTGGAGCAGCTCCTTCCAGCTGGGAGAAGCCTGGAGCTTGGAAAGTTGATTTTTATCTCTCTCCAGAGCCAGCAGTTCTTTTTAACACCCAGAAACATCAACTCCAAGGAGATTAATCCCAATTAATTGGTTGATTTTGGATGAAAAGCGTTTTTATGAAGGTCACAAGAGGATGGAAGGTGGAAAAGATGCTCAGGGCTGAGAGAGCCAGGCCAGGCAGCTCCTTCTGGGGTAACCCCGAGGCTGCCAAAGGAGCAGGAGAAGAACTCAGAGCTTTGGGTTGGTTTTTTTTTCCCAAATTCTCACCCTTGAGCTGCTGCCCGAGGTGGGGTCCCCAAACCCTTCAGCCTCACTGGGGAGTTGCTTTGCTTTTTTAAAAAAGTCAGATTTATCCTTCCACCTTTCCCTGTGACTGTGGCATTGCTAGATTCACTTTGCAGGCACCAAGAAGGGAGAAAAGCAGAATTTTTTGGTGTCAACTCATGAGGTTTAACGTGAAACAAAACCCACCCATTCCATGCAGGAATTTTGTCAGGGACAATTTTATTTCTGGAGCAGCAGCAAGGAATTTGTTGTTCACTCGTGGGGCTTTAATGAGGCATCTCAAGAGTCAGAGTCCTTCCTGGATTATAAATTACAAAAAAGCTTTTAAAAATCATCCCTGATCACCTGCACAAGCTGCAATAAATTCAATTTATTTTGATTTATTCCCTTGCCACATTTATCCCATTAAAAGCTGTTGTTTGTTGGCCACTGACCCAACACCACTGCCAGGGCCAAGTGCTGTTGATGCTGATGCTTTTCTTGCCTTTCTTCTCCTTAATTATGGCTTTTCTTAATTATGGCCAGGAATGTTTGTTTGCTCTTGATCTTGGCTGTGATTAAAGCTCTTTTCCAGCAGATTTTCCAGGGTTGCTGAGAGCCTCACCACCAGTACAAACAACCCCTTTTCCTTGCCATTATCACGTCAAAGTTCACCCAAACTCCAAACTTTTCCTCTCCTGAAGAAGGTGGCGGTTAAAATGCGGCAGCTTAGAATAATTGGAAGCTTCAAACTTGCAGAAAATGTCCAAAGTTTCCAATTCTCTGTGGTTTTTTGGGGTTTTTTATCCCCAAAAAGCACTTGTGGAGTGTGAGGAACCAACAATCACTGCAAGCAGTTGTCCTTCCAGAGGCTCCAACCAATTCCCAGGAGACCAAAGTATCCCAAATTATGAATCCATATTTTAGCCTGAAATTATTGGAAAATACTATTGATACTTTGGGAATCAAAAATTTATTAAAAAAAAAAAACAGTTAAAATAAGAGTTTTTAAGTGTTTAAACCCCACTTGTGTCCTTTGTTCCTTCTTGGCACAAGAATTCCACAATATTCCAGCAACTGGAACATGGCTGGGAAGAAATTATCCCTAAAATTGAGTGAAATAATTTATTTAAAAAAATAGAAAAATCAAATAATAGTTTATATTATTAGTTCTATTAATATTATTCTATTAATAGTTTTCACTTGTGTCCTTTGTTCCTTGGGTAAGAATTTCACAATATTCCAGCAACTGGGAAGAAATTATCCATAAAACTTAGTGGAATAATTGATTACAAAAAGAAAAAAAAATTAGAGTTTTTAAATATTTAAACCCCACTTGTGTTCCTTGGGCAAGAATTCTGCAATATTCCTTTAACTGGGAAGAAATTATCCATAAAATTGAGTGGATTTGGCTGGAATCTTTGTGCTGGTTTTATTTTCCTGCTCAGTAAAACATTTTCAGGTCATTTTTCTCTTTTCCTACATTTTGAGTGCCAGGATTTATTAAAATCCTATAAAATGGGACAAAATCCTGATTTTACCTCTCTGGTACCTGATGTTTTCCTCCAGGTGTGAG